ACCCGAAGGCTTTTCAAACGCTGGCACCTGTTTAAAAACACTGTGCCCAGAGGGAGCCGAGCAGCCCGAGCCGCGGGCCAGAGCCAGCACTTCCCACGGCTGATCCTGCTGCCGTTGCCTGGAGGAAGAGGATCCACCTGTGGTTCCTTCCCACAAAACGCAGCTGGGCGCCGCTTCCCAGTGAGGTTCTGCACCCTGGTGGCACCTGCAAAGCTCTGCTGAGCCTTGCGTTTCTCCCCGGGAACGTGTAAAACTGCAGCGAGTTTTCTGAGGATGCTGACGAGGAGCTGAGTTAACCCGGGAGCAAAGTGGCCTTTTCTCAAACGTTGCGGAGCAGGGTTCACTTTAGCCATGGAGACGGATACGGTCCCCAAGAGCAAGTTGCTTTTATCGGTGGTTCATTTGAGGGGAGCCGCTGAACTAGCTTTGTCTGCTGGAAATGCAGCCTGTGGACCGAGGGATCTATGGTAAACAGAGCCATTTAGCAGCAGAACCCTCCTGAACGAGCGCAGCACATCGAGCTGCACATTCGAACGGGAGCGCAGCAGAGCTTTGGCTCTGCGGCAGTGCAGAAAACGACTCAGGCTGGTCCTGTTCCCTGTCCCGCTCAGCTGTGGCTCATCCCGTTCCCTGTCCTGCTCAACTCAGGCTTGTCCCGTTCCCTGTCCTGCTCAACTCAGGCTTGTCCTGTTCCCAGTCCCGCTCCGCTCTGGCTCGTCCCGTTCCCTGTCCCGCTCATCCGCACACAGCCCTGCCCCGGAGGAGCCGCTCGCTGCCGTGCGGGTGCGTTTGTGAGTGCCTTTTGCCTAACAAGGTCCACGTGAACACGTGCGTCTGCCGCCCGGCGAGCTGAGGGTCCTTGGCCCTCTGCAGATAGAGCCTGCGCCGTGCGGACCGACTGTCCCGGGGCTTTTAGCAGGGCTGTCGCTGCGTAAAAGAACTGCCTGGAGTTTAAGCAACTTTCTCTGCCCCAGCAAGGGGAAAAAATGCATTTAATGTGCGTTTTAGCAGCAGCTAGGCCTGGAGAGCTCGTGCCAGAAGCTGAGATAAGGGTGTGTGCAAAGGTGCTGCTCCGGGATCAGGCTCCGCGCTCGGCACAGAGCCGCATTGTCCGCCCCGGGCTCCTGCCGGCCGCTCCGAGCACGGATTTTCCCCCTTCCTCCCTCTAGGACCTCATGGCACGTTGTGTTTTTGTTGCTTTTTGAAACTTGCGGTTGGTCCCCAAACCTGGGCGCTGTTCCCACTTCCCATGGCTGGTTGTGCTGCTGCAACGCGGGCCAGGATGGAGCTGGATGGAGCCCGTTTGGGCTCCGCACGGTTTGGTGGTTCATGGGGAGTTGAAGCTGAATTTATGACTCTGATACCCATTTTCTTTGCCTGTGAAAGCCCCATTGACTCCCCTCACCTGGAAAACAGCAGGGAATAATAAAATGCACCAGCTCGAGCTGCTACGGGTTGCTGGAGATTAAACCAAGCAAACCTGGCTGTAGAGACCAGGACTCTTGGGCCTCCCGGGTCTCCTGCTGAGGCTGCAGCAGAGCCTGAGCACGGCTGCATTCAGCAAACGGGGGGAGCTCCACGCTCAGGAGGGTGTTTCACTTCTCTCTGAGATAAGAGCGATTCTGCTGCTTTCAACAAGCGTTAGGTTTTCTGTTTCATACGGTCAGATAGCAAAGGAGGAGTCATTTGTGGAAGAGAGATCCTGTGCCAAAAAAACGTGTTGGAGAAGCTGTAGGTATCCCACTGGAGACTGCTTTCTTCTGGGGGGCAAAACACAGATTTTTGGGCATCTTTCTAAGCAGCACCTGCCTTCCCGGGGGGAAGGCATCACTTGAGGTCTGGTTCTTACGGGAGAGCTGAAACCAGCCTCCGTGTCCCCTGTCCCCGGCAGCGCAAGGTGACGGATCGGCTCCGGTCCCGTCTCGCCGCACGTGAACACGGCCATTCAGCTCCGAGGGCGCCCGCGGAGCGGGAGGCAGGAAGGGTTGCTAAGAGGGGACATTGCTACCAGCTGCCAAAACAACCCGTACGCCGGAGCTGCCGCCGCGTTTTGAGTGGAAACGTGCCCAAGGGTTGAGTCCATGGTAATATTTCCAGCTCCGTAATACGGGCATGCAAAAACCCGGAGGGG